TATATATATATATATACAGTATATATACAACATTTAGACTGTGAAACAAACCCAAGAAGGCATTAAATCAACTTGTTGCCTTAGTTACTGTCGCTTCACATGCCTGCAAAAACAGAAAATCCTGCTGCACATGTTCTCACTAAATAAAGAAGTGGAGTGTGTCACCTTATTTCCTTTATATATGTACACATTTATTGAGAATAGACAATTAATATTTTTACAATTTTTAAAAGCTACAGAGTGTTTATCTATTGTTTCTGGTTTGGAAATTCCATAGATTTATAGTTAGTATAAACTTTTTTGCTGCACAATATGCCCACAAACAGCAACTGTTTCAACAAAGTATGGTAACTTCAGGAATCCAACCTCTCCAAATATCAAATCCTGGGTTTAGGATTTAAAGACAATCCACAAACCTCTAATATTATTGGGATTTATTTACTGACAGATATTGTACACATCTGTCAGTAATACTAACATTTATTTTCTTATTCTATAGGGAGTGTAGTAAATGTGATGAAAAATATGTAACTAAAATTGTCTATGTTTAGTACTGTAGATACCTAAACTGTCTGAGATTAATTTAGTGATATGCTCCCACTTTTTATCATTGTATATGCAACTTAGATCTTATTCCCAATTAGATTTTCAGATATCTCTCACTTAACAAAATCAATTTCTAAAAATTGGTTCAAAATAATGTAGATATATTACATCTGGAAATTTTAATATGCTAGAGCTCAATTACTGTAAAAAGTGTCTGACTTTAGGAAGACAGGGCAACCATACTAACTGCTAATGATGATCTCATAAAAACCCAGTCTAAAAGTCATCTGTTTTTAACTTGAAATGTTGAGTGCTTCTTTTCTCATTAAATGCTGCCACCTGGAGGTAGATGATTCCATTACATTGCATGAAATAGGCAGATACCCTGAACACATTCACTCTGAAGGGAATTTAGAGGTAACCAATAAACCATCAGTCATGTTTTTGGACTGATGGGAGATAACTCAGAGTAGTCAGTGATATTTCAGGCATTAAATCTCAGCAGCAGTGCACAGACTGAGTCACCTTTTACCCCAAACAAAAAAATTTTTCACTACTGTTAAGAATTTAACATCTTTATTGCTACATTTTTGAAAATATGTGGCGACTATTTTTATGATTCCAATTTTTATGCAAAATGATTCAAATAAATTCAGTCAAAACAGTTTGATTTGTATAGAAATATCCTTTATATCTTTCATTGTCAATTTCATTTTGGCACTATCTAAAAGTTTATCCTCAGGTGGTGTTTCCTGTGTGAACATTTTTTTCAATACCAGAATGTCATGTCAAGATTTATTAATGTATGATTAAATAAGTAGCTATATACCGTATACAAACAGCTACTCAAGTGGAAGGTAATCTTTTTCCCTTGGGCAGAAGGATTTGCTAATGCAATTAGTTAATAATTTCAAGGTCTGCTTATCTATACGATTATCTATATGTCTATCTATATGTCTATATGTCTATTTGACTTAATGCTAAATAATTGGTAATTGCATCATTTATTAAGTGATTTTTAGTTTTTGGTACAATTACAAATTCACCTCATTACAACAGAGTTTCCTCTTGAAAGTGTAATTTTATGATTGATTTATTATTCAGTATTTCAGTTGAACATTGTTGTAACATATGCTGTATCTGTACTATTTTGAAACAATTGAGATTGTATTCAAAGTGTAGCCAATATACTATTGTGTACTTAACAAAATTTGGCACAATTATTTTAGATTTCTTTGTCTTTATTTATGAATGAATAGTACATCTAAAAAGAGAAGGGCCATTTTAGCAAAGTTTCTTATCAGGGAGCTCCAAATTTAGCCTAAATATTCCTGCCAAAAGGTTTTAGACTGAGAGTGATTTAGATAGTTAAAGGAACTCCTGACTAATCGTGGACAGACATTTTTTATCATAGTGAAAAGGTGCGGCTTTGGATTCTGGATTAAAGAAGACAACATCAACAACAACAACAAAAAACAATGGAGAAGAAGCAGTCAGGGAACCCAAACTTTATAGAAAATTAGTTGCTGCCATTTTTACTTTTATGCCTGCCTTGGCCAGATTGAAATTTCAGGCTATGAATTCAGTCAAGCTCCGTTAGTTTTACTTACTTCTAAAGAAGAACCGCTAAAGGAAACGGAAAAAAAAAAACTCACCAATGGAATGTTGCAGCTGTCCAGGGAGAACGGGAAGATGACAAAGACCATCTTGGATCTGGTATGAGAGATAATTTGGTATTCATGGGCTGAAAAGCGAAGGACTGGGTTGTGGTCGGCCGCTGTGGCTTGGCGCCTTGCTCGCTTGGTGGAGGATGGAGAACAGGGTGCCTATGGGGTCAATAGGGGAGCTGGATCCTAGGGAGATCTCTGTTCCCCAGTGCTCTGCTTCCCCTCGCCGATGCTTACCCTCATCTGCTCTATCACACAACTACACACAATGGATCTTGGGGAAGAGATCATCACCAGGGTGGGTCTTTCCATGCTTAGATTTTAGATAAACTTTATTATCATTTTGTACACACAGGGTGTGTAAAAAAGGAAATTTCATTCAGTACAGCTCTCAAGACATTTCCATTTCTAAAGTGCAGCAGTGTTAAAATGTAAACATGTTGATCAAATCTAAACATAAGACTGACATATGATTTACAGTTTTTCCAACATTTACTGCTTTTTTTTCTGGAAATGGTCTATGCCCGAATTTTAATAAACTCCTTAGTCAGCATCATTTATAACATTTCCAAAATATACATAAGTAGAGCAGTAGAGCAGGTGAAGTGATGCACCCACCATGCCTAGTGCCTACTGTATAAGCCTGTGGGGGCCGTTTTATGATCTGGGGTTGCTGCGGTTGGTCAAGTCTAGGTTCAGCAACAGTATGTGCTCAAAGAATGAGGTCAACTGACTACCTGAATATACTGAATGACCAGTTTATTCCATCAATTGGTTTTTTCTTCCCTGATGGCACAGGCATATTCCAAGATGACAATGCCAGGATTCTTCGGGCTCAAATTTTGAAAGACTGGTTCAGGGAGCATGACACATCGTTTTCACGCATCGATTGGCCACCACAGAGTCCAAACCTCAACCCCATTGAGAATCTTTGGGATGTGCTAGAGAGGGCTTTGCGCAGCGGTCAGACTCTACCATCATTAATGCAAGATCTTGGTGAAAAATTAATGCAGCACTGGATGGAAATAAATCTTTTGATATTGCAGAAGCGTCTCGAAACAATGCCACAGCGAATGCGTGCCGTAATTAAAGCTAAAGGCGGTCAAACAAAGTATTAGAGTGAGTGACCTTTTTTTTGGATGGCGACTTTTTTTTTTGGCCAGGCAGTGTATATTCCATACAATGGTTGCTCTTTTGTCAACATTAAATACTAAATGCTGTGCTTTGTTTTCACAACCCTAGGAACTCTCATATGATTGGCTCAGGAACAAGGAATTAAACACTGGTTACTTACTGTATCAAAGTTGTTCTGTACCTTACCTCAAGATCTGAAAGGAGGAAAACTTGACTAAAATGCATCCTTGTTGATGCAGAGGACCAATTGTAATAAGAAATGTTACTGTCATTCTGGCTGAAAAATGAGAATGATTTTGGTTCATTTTAAAACAATTGTCTTGCTTATTGCCACTTTGATGTGAACCGCTTTGGATAAAATATATTCTTAAACAAACAGAACAAATAAAACTGTCAATCTGATTTTGCAATATAGCTCTTAATATTTATTCTTCTGACTCAGGAGGATTTTTTACAGCACAATTTGCATATCTTAACACACCCCGTGTACAGTCACAAAACCATAACATCATATGCTTTGTTTTTACACTGAGTGAAAAACAAGACAAATTTACAAGCATATCTCTTTACACTCAGCATACAGATAGATCTATACATATTTTCTCTCTTTTTAAACATAATCCTTGGGCAAAATATACAGACAAACCATCAACAAAACATGCAACATCCAAAACCAAAAGTTTCAGACAACTACTTAAAGTGAAACATATACATTTTTTTCCCATCTTATGTTGTTCCTGCAGTTCAGAGGATTTAATCTCACTAATAATCATCAGTGGACAGCACTTGTTTTAAATAAACACTCTCAACTCCCCTGATAGGACTCTAGACACCCATTGCTGTACAATTGCAAGTGCTCTGTGAATTACATTTATTTATTTTTTTTATTTTACACTCACATGCTCAAACCTCAGACATATAAACATTCAGTCATTGTAGAAAATAAACACTTTATGTACACATGTCAAACAACTTGAGCACATTCACACCCCTCAGGACAACAATAAATGAATGGGTTCACAATTACAGGCAACGATTGATCTTAACAAACAGTATTCAGAAGCAATTCTAATGATACACGAATGATTTGACAGTCATGACTGGGCAATAAGATGAGGTCTTACTTACTGCACCACGTATACAGACTGTTCAGTACACTATGAAAATGGAGTAATTGACTTCACTGAAGATTGTGCATCCCTTTAAGGGAACCCCTACTTGTTTGAATGTTAATCTTTTGCCACATAGATAAAAATTGTACACCACAATAGTTCCTGCAACTGCATACACTGTGACTCATTCAATTTTAGTATGGAGACAGAACATATAACTTAGAATGTCTCGACAGTTAAAATAAGACAAGAAAACAAGCATTGTAATAAAGTGCACAAGCTCCATGTAGATGTTAACAGTGGTTAACATCAATATATACTAAAATAAGTACAAAATAAAAATATTTAATATTCTTCTTTCACCAAATGTACAAATTATAACTACTTTCTACAGGACATTTTAAAATGATATGTTCACAGACTTTAACACATATGCATATGAATACATATGTTGCATAGAATTACCTTAAAATAACTTATTGGTCTGGGGGGGAAAAAAAGGAAAAAATGATAAATATTAAAATATATTTCATACCAAAATGTAACTGAATATTGTATGGCACAACAAATTGGTTACCATTTTATGGTATCTTCTGCAGTATTTGAGTGACATCTTGCTCTTTGTGTTTTTGTTGATTAAAAGTTGTATCAGCCCTGTTTTATAATAAAACATACTAAAAGTAGTTATCTTTATTTTTTTCCCTTTCTTTTATATGTTATCTTCTCTTTTTATTTTATTGACATGGTCGCAAAATATGACTGAAGGATGATCAGGAATGTGTACATAAATGGTTCTCCTGCATACACATGAATATTTAGAGTTGGCCCCATGAGTTTCTCTAACCTTTATCATGCCTGAGAAAATGTTTTGATCACAGGCAGTGAAATATGCTGGTCCACTGTGTTTAAAAGGAGTCACTGAGACAACACATTAGTGTTTTATAAGTCAAGCATGGCCAGAGACACAGAGGAGAATTTGACTCTATCTACCTTTTTTTTTTTGTTATTTTCAGTTAAAACTCTGATGGAAGGGCTTAACAAACACACTGACAGTAAAGCAGACATACAGTTTCTATGAATTACATGTCCATAGCAACAGAGTGATAAAATAAAAGGACTTACATAGAGGAAAAACTACAAAAACCTAAAAGAAAAAATTTGCTCAAATAACAAAGATGTGTAAACGTCTGTCTTCTGAAAAGTTGTAACATTTGTTACATTCAACACAGCATGTGCAAAATGCTGTTCATTCTGCTAATATATCTCCCCCTAAATATGATGCATGTTATAATAATCTGTCTGCTGATGTTGACTTGAACCATGATTGCAGGTCTGTTCAGCAGAGAGGTGCATCAGTGTGAAAATATGGCAAACCTCTAGCTCACAAAGATCCCTAAAAGTCATAAGGACTGTTTATTCATTAGATTACTGGATTGTCAGTGCACCACCCACTGCCTCAACCTAGACCTTTTGTCAATATTATCCTATATATAATTTGTTGACATGAGAACAACTCTTATACTATGTTGTATTTAGTTATATTCTTCTTATGCTAAATTTAAGGTTTATATATATATATCTATATATATCACACTGTACAATTCTTTGATATGCTCTGTAATCTGCATTTGGAATAACAGAAACCTTAGAAGTACTGTACATTTAATCTTCATCTCACTGCATAAATTAAATCTGAAGTTTTTTTTCTCAGCTTTGACATACATTGGAAGGTCAGCCATACAAAAACTGTTATGCATTCCTGTGTCTTTTAAATACATCAGCACCACTGATGTCTGCAAACTGTCTAAACAATTATACACATTTTCATTAATTGTCATTTTTAAATCTTTTCTGTGGCTAGTTTGTTAAGTTCTATCGTGCAATATCAAAATTATAATTATGGATCATACAATGGAACTATGGTATCAAAAGCATAACTGTCCTTAAGCCATATTGCCGTGGAATATCAGTCAGTAACTGTCTTTGCATGTTTGCATCCAAGCAAAGTCTTTTGAGAGCTGACATAAGAATAGGAACACGTGCACTGGCAGTGTTAGACTGACAAGACATGCAAATGTTATTGTCACATAGTTACCTTCATCTAATGATCTATAAACTCAATGCATGAATTTAGGTAATATTATAAAAATTATTCTGTTTTCTTTTTTCCCTTTTACCAATTATATCTCCCAATTGATCTTTTTTATCTTATTGTGTGGCACTCAAGGGTTAGTCAGGTTGGAGCTGACAAAAAGTTTGTGCCAGCTGACCACTCTCTTCCTCATGTCCACCTTGTCAAGCCAGATGTAGGCTTCCCCGATCAAGGTCTTCTTCACAAACTTCCCACCATTGGACACCAAAAAAAGCTGAAAGGACAGTAAAAATAAAACTCATTTATCATCTAATTTGCACAAAACGGTAGAATGCAGTAGGTCAGTGTTTCCCAAACTTTTTTTATTCTTGTACACCTTTGGGCATTTTTTCATACCATGAGTACCCCCTCAGTCAAAAGTATTGATGATCATCCAAAAGTGGAAAGTGCAATAACTGATTATAAAGCAAAAACTATTTTTACTAAATCTTTTAATCTGAGCATTTAATTCTTAGGCGTTTCATTCTTTCCATCTCATATAAAAAATAACACAAGTTGTTTGCCTGGTAGTTAGTAAGGATAAAAAAAAAAATCCAAAATCAAAACATATTATAAACCTATATTTAAAAAAACTCTAGCTCCTCTGAGTAACTCCCTTATAATCACATTTAAACTTGATGAATTGGAAGCAAATTATAGAACAAAAATTATAGTCAGACTGACTTAATCAGATTTAGTTTGTTTTCATCAAGACACCAGAGCTTGCTTTGATTAGCTCCTACAGTATACCTCATAGCTTTTCAGTTGGCTCCTCGCAAAGCAAAACTGATCCCAGTCCTATTTATTTTACTACCTAAGAAATAAAACATTTACATGTAACCCTTGCAATGCACTCGCGGACCAGTAGGGGTACCAGCGATTGGGAACCACTGCAATAAGACAAAGGGATTTTTTAATTTGTGTTCTTGGAAAAAGTTTTATGTGTTTAATTTTCACTAACATACAGTAAGTTTTTCAGGGTAAATGCTATTATCTATAAAACTACGTATTTTCAATGCTTATGTTAACAATAATTCTGTAATTATGTGCAATTTTCTGCCCATGCCTAGATTTTTAATTCAAGTTTTCTCCATGCTGACCTGTATTGAATGTCCCGTTGGGTTGAGAGGAAATCTGAAGGTCTCATTAAAGGAAGGTTCCCTGTCATGTCGACAAACTCTTGTCTTTTTCTTGATGATCCTCTTCTGAGTGGCTACGTTCACCACATACAGTTTGACATACAGATCTGGAAGCCAGTTAAAAAGATGTGTTAATACAGTGAGATTATTATTATGTAACCCATTAGTGTTTTGATGGTCCTATTTGGGCCTAAATAGAATTCAAGCACTGGGCTCGATGAATAAAAATAAACAGACGTGTTCACCATCTGCAAACAGTACGGGGAAACTATCAACAAGCTGGTTTGCAACAATTAAAGCAGCTATTTTATAGAGTCCTAAAATGCTTTACAGAAAAGCAGAACATGGCTTGGATGAAGACCGATATCGATTTAATAAACACATCTACAACAACTCTGACTTCTGGTGGATCCTTCCCCTATAATGGATTCCAACCACTATTTGGGTGTCCTTCTTGGAATTAGAATACTTTTGTGTTTTTTTTTCACTCTTTCTAGTATTTTTCTTCTTTTTTTCCCCAAAACTTTCTTGGGAGGTGCTAACTTGCTTAGCCACATCACTTCCTTGTTTAATCCCTGTGCCAATATGCATTACTATACCTCTGCTCATACTAGTTTCATTTACTGATAAATTTAACACAAAAAAGGAAAAGAAAAAGTAACCATATGAATCAAAAATCTGTCATATAATGTGACTATGCTTCTTTAATTCACTTATAAAACCTTAAAATTATGTACACAAAATATTTACATTGTATAAAATAACATTTCTAAATATAATCTAAGGCCCAATGAAATACACAGACATTTGTGGGTGCAAAGCAAAGTAAAATGTGAAAAAGGTAATAAAACTTTAACAAAACACAGTGCATATATACTTATGTAGACATAGATAAATAGAGTTTCCAACCTGGCAGGTGGTCTGGGCTTTTGAACTTGTAAGTAATATTTCTGCATTGAAGAATCTCTAGCACCAGCTGATCTCCTTCTGTCTTCACCTCCTTCTTTAGAGCAACTTTAATTTCCCCAATTACTTGGGTTTTCCCTCCTGACAAAGAAAGAAACAGACACAAACTTTGTAATTGGCACATTTGAATACTTTCATGGTCTCTCTCAGAATATTTTACTCACTACCTTGGGGTAGGTTCTTACTGTTACGTTGACTTTAGGTTAATTATTTAAGTTTTTGTGACACTAAAATGTAGTCCCTTAGCCTGGCTTCCAAAGACAAGATATGTTACATTTGGAGACATGAGTTAGCCACGCACCTTAGTAATGACTTCTTGACTCTCATCTGTGTAATCATAATAGCCTTTATTGACCCTGAGCTTTTTGTTACAAGAGGAAACTAGATACAGTGNTAGCACATCCCAAAGATTCTCAATGGGGTTGAGGATTGGCCACCACAGAGTCCAAACCTCAACCCCATTGAGAATCTTTGGGATGTGCTAGAGAGGGCTTTGCGCAGCGATCAGACTCTACCATCATCAATGCAAGATCTTGGTGAAAAATTAATGCAGCACTGGATGGAAATAAATCTTTTGATATTGCAGAAGCGTCTCGAAACAATGCCACAGCGAATGCGTGCCGTAATCAAAGCTAAAGGCGGTCAAACAAAGTATTAGAGTGAGTGACCTTTTTTTTGGATGGCGACTTTTTTTTTTGGCCAGGCAGTGTATATTCCATACAATGGTTGCTCTTTTGTCAACATTAAATACTAAATGCTGTGCTTTGTTTTCACAACCCTAGGAACTCTCATATGATTGGCTCAGGAACAAGGAATTAAACACTGGTTACTTACTGTATCAAAGTTGTTCTGTACCTTACCTCAAGATCTGAAAGGAGGAAAACTTGACTAAAATGCATCCTTGTTGATGCAGAGGACCAATTGTAATAAGAAATGTTACTGTCATTCTGGCTGAAAAATGAGAATGATTTTGGTTCATTTTAAAACAATTGTCTTGCTTATTGCCACTTTGATGTGAACCGCTTTGGATAAAATATATTCTTAAACAAACAGAACAAATAAAACTGTCAATCTGATTTTGCAATATAGCTCTTAATATTTATTCTTCTGACTCAGGAGGATTTTTTACAGCACAATTTGCATATCTTAACACACCCCGTGTACAGTCACAAAACCATAACATCATATGCTTTGTTTTTACACTGAGTGAAAAACAAGACAAATTTACAAGCATATCTCTTTACACTCAGCATACAGATAGATCTATACATATTTTCTCTCTTTTTAAACATAATCCTTGGGCAAAATATACAGACAAACCATCAACAAAACATGCAACATCCAAAACCAAAAGTTTCAGACAACTACTTAAAGTGAAACATATACATTTTTTTCCCATCTTATGTTGTTCCTGCAGTTCAGAGGATTTAATCTCACTAATAATCATCAGTGGACAGCACTTGTTTTAAATAAACACTCTCAACTCCCCTGATAGGACTCTAGACACCCATTGCTGTACAATTGCAAGTGCTCTGTGAATTACATTTATTTATTTTTTTTATTTTACACTCACATGCTCAAACCTCAGACATATAAACATTCAGTCATTGTAGAAAATAAACACTTTATGTACACATGTCAAACAACTTGAGCACATTCACACCCCTCAGGACAACAATAAATGAATGGGTTCACAATTACAGGCAACGATTGATCTTAACAAACAGTATTCAGAAGCAATTCTAATGATACACGAATGATTTGACAGTCATGACTGGGCAATAAGATGAGGTCTTACTTACTGCACCACGTATACAGACTGTTCAGTACACTATGAAAATGGAGTAATTGACTTCACTGAAGATTGTGCATCCCTTTAAGGGAACCCCTACTTGTTTGAATGTTAATCTTTTGCCACATAGATAAAAATTGTACACCACAATAGTTCCTGCAACTGCATACACTGTGACTCATTCAATTTTAGTATGGAGACAAAACATATAACTTAGAATGTCTCGACAGTTAAAATAAGACAAGAAAACAAGCGTTGTAATAAAGTGCACAAGCTCCATGTAGATGTTAACAGTGGTTAACATCAATATATACTAAAATAAGTACAAAATAAAAATATTTAATATTCTTCTTTCACCAAATGTACAAATTATAACTACTTTCTACAGGACATTTTAAAATGATATGTTCACAGACTTTAACACATATGCATATGAATACATATGTTGCATAGAATTACCTTAAAATAACTTATTGGTCTGGGGGGGAAAAAAAGGAAAAAATGATAAATATTAAAATATATTTCATACCAAAATGTAACTGAATATTGTATGGCACAACAAATTGGTTACCATTTTATGGTATCTTCTGCAGTATTTGAGTGACATCTTGCTCTTTGTGTTTTTGTTGATTAAAAGTTGTATCAGCCCTGTTTTATAATAAAACATACTAAAAGTAGTTATCTTTATTTTTTTCCCTTTCTTTTATATGTTATCTTCTCTTTTTATTTTATTGACATGGTCGCAAAATATGACTGAAGGATGATCAGGAATGTGTACATAAATGGTTCTCCTGCATACACATGAATATTTAGAGTTGGCCCCATGAGTTTCTCTAACCTTTATCATGCCTGAGAAAATTTTTTGATCACAGGCAGTGAAATATGCTGGTCCACTGTGTTTAAAAGGAGTCACTGAGACAACACATTAGTGTTTTATAAGTCAAGCATGGCCAGAGACACAGAGGAGAATTTGACTCTATCTACCTTTTTTTTTTTGTTATTTTCAGTTAAAACTCTGATGGAAGGGCTTAACAAACACACTGACAGTAAAGCACACATAAAGTTTCTATGAATTACATGTCCATAGCAACAGAGTGATAAAATAAAAGGACTTACATAGAGGAAAAACTACAAAAACCTAAAAGAAAAAATTTGCTCAAATAACAAAGATGTGTAAACGTCTGTCTTCTGAAAAGTTGTAACATTTGTTACATTCAACACAGCATGTGCAAAATGCTGTTCATTCTGCTAATATATCTCCCCCTAAATATGATGCATGTTATAATAATCTGTCTGCTGATGTTGACTTGAACCATGATTGCAGGTCTGTTCAGCAGAGAGGTGCATCAGTGTGAAAATATGGCAAACCTCTAGCTCACAAAGATCCCTAAAAGTCATAAGGACTGTTTATTCATTAGATTACTGGATTGTCAGTGCACCACCCACTGCCTCAACCTAGACCTTTTGTCAATATTATCCTATATATAATTTGTTGACATGAGAACAACTCTTATACTATGTTGTATTTAGTTATATTCTTCTTATGCTAAATTTAAGGTTTTATATATATATATCTATATATATCACACTGTACAATTCTTTGATATGCTCTGTAATCTGCATTTGGAATAACAGAAACCTTAGAAGTACTGTACATTTAATCTTCATCTCACTGCATAAATTAAATCTGAAGTTTTTTTTCTCAGCTTTGACATACATTGGAAGGTCAGCCATACAAAAACTGTTATGCATTCCTGTGTTTTTTAAATACATCAGCACCACTGATGTCTGCAAACTGTCTAAACAATTATACACATTTTCATTAATTGTCATTTTTAAATCTTTTCTGTGGCTAGTTTGTTAAGTTCTATCGTGCAATATCAAAATTATAATTATGGATCATACAATGGAACTATGGTATCAAAAGCATAACTGTCCTTAAGCCATATTGCCGTGGAATATCAGTCAGTAACTGTCTTTGCATGTTTGCATCCAAGCAAAGTCTTTTGAGAGCTGACATAAGAATAGGAACACGTGCACTGGCAGTGTTAGACTGACAAGACATGCAAATGTTATTGTCACATAGTTACCTTCATCTAATGATCTATAAACTCAATGCATGAATTTAGGTAATATTATAAAAATTATTCTGTTTTCTTTTTTCCCTTTTACCAATTATATCTCCCAATTGATCTTTTTTATCTTATTGTGTGGCACTCAAGGGTTAGTCAGGTTGGAGCTGACAAAAAGTTTGTGCCAGCTGACCACTCTCTTCCTCATGTCCACCTTGTCAAGCCAGATGTAGGCTTCCCCGATCAAGGTCTTCTTCACAAACTTCCCACCATTGGACACCAAAAAAAGCTGAAAGGACAGTAAAAATAAAACTCATTTATCATCTAATTTGCACAAAACGGTCAGTGTTTCCCAAACTTTTTTTATTCTTGTACACCTTTGGGCATTTTTTCATACCATGAGTACCCCCTCAGTCAAAAGTATTGATGATCATCCAAAAGTGGAAAGTGCAATAACTGATTATAAAGCAAAAACTATTTTTACTAAATCTTTTAATCTGAGCATTTAATTCTTAGGCGTTTCATTCTTTCCATCTCATATAAAAAATAACACAAGTTGTTTGCCTGGTAGTTAGTAAGGATAAAAAAAAAAATCCAAAATCAAAACATATTATAAACCTATATTTAAAAAAACTCTAGCTCCTCTGAGTAACTCCCTTATAATCACATTTAAACTTGATGAATTGGAAGCAAATTATAGAACAAAAATTATAGTCAGACTGACTTAATCAGATTTAGTTTGTTTTCATCAAGACACCAGAGCTTGCTTTGATTAGCTCCTACAGTATACCTCATAGCTTTTCAGTTGGCTCCTCGCAAAGCAAAACCGATCCCAGTCCTATTTATTTTACTACCTAAGAAATAAAACATTTACATGTAACCCTTGCAATGCACTCGCGGACCACTAGGGGTACCAGCGATTGGGAACCACTGCAATAAGACAAAGGGATTTTTTAATTTGTGTTCTTGGAAAAAGTTTTATGTGTTTAATTTTCACTAACATACAGTAAGTTTTTCAGGGTAAATGCTATTATCTATAAAACTACATATTTTCAATGCTTATGTTAACAATAATTCTGTAATTATGTGCAATTTTCTGCCCATGCCTAGATTTTTAATTCAAGTTTTCTCCATGCTGACCTGTATTGAATGTCCCGTTGGGTTGAGAGGAAATCTGAAGGTCTCATTAAAGGAAGGTTCCCTGTCATGTCGACAAACTCTTGTCTTTTTCTTGATGATCCTCTTCTGAGTGGCTACGTTCACCACATACAGTTTGACATACAGATCTGAAAGCCAGTGAAAAAGATGTGTTAATACAGTAAGATTATTACTATATAACCCATTAGTGTTTTGATGGTCATATTTGGACCTAAATAGAATTAAAGCAATGGGCTCGATGAATAAAAATAAACAGACATGTGCACCATCTGCAAGCAGTAAAGGGAAACTATCAACAAGCTGGTTTGCCACAATTAAAGCAGCTATTTTATAGAGTCCTAAAATGCTTTACAGAAAAGCAGAACATGGCTTGGATGAAGACCGATATCGATTTAATAAACACATCTACAACAACTCTGACTTCTGGTGGATCCTTCCCCTATAATGGATTCCAACCACTATTTGGGTGTCCTTCTTGGAATTAGAATACTTTTGTGTTTTTTTTTCACTCTTTCTAGTATTTTTCTTCTTTTTTTCCCCAAAACTTTCTTGGGAGGTGCTAACTTGCTTAGCCACATCACTTCCTTGTTTAATCCCTGTGCCAATATGCATTACTATACCTCTGCTCATACTAGTTTCATTTACTGATAAATTTAACACAAAAAAGGAAAAGAAAAAGTAACCATATGAATCAAAAATCTGTCATATAATGTGACTATGCTTCTTTAATTCACTTATAAAACCTTAAAATTATGTACACAAAATATTTACATTGTATAAAATAACATTTCTAAATATAATCTAAGGCCCAATGAAATACACAGACATTTGTGGGTGCAAAGCAAAGTAAAATGTGAAAAAGGTAATAAAACTTTAACAAAACACAGTGCATATATACTTATGTAGACATAGATAAATAGAGTTTCCAACCTGGCAGGTGGTCTGGGCTTTTGAACTTGTAAGTAATATTTCTGCATTGAAGAATCTCTAGCACCAGCTGATCTCCTTCTGTCTTCACCTCCTTCTTTAGAGCAACTTTAATTTCCCCAATTACTTGGGTTTTCCCTCCTGACAAAGAAAGAAACAGACACAAACTTTGTAATTGGCACATTTGAATACTTTCATGGTCTCTCTCAGAATATTTTACTCACTACCTTGGGGTAGGTTCTTACTGTTACGTTGACTTTAGGTTAATTATTTAAGTTTTTGTGACACTAAAATGTAGTCCCTTAGCCTGGCTTCCAAAGACAAGATATGTTACATTTGGAGACATGAGTTAGCCACGCACCTTAGTAATGACTTCTTGACTCTCATCTGTGTAATCATAATAGCCTTTATTGACCCTGAGCTTTTTGTTACAAGAGGAAACTAGATACAGTGGGTGTGTGTGTGTGTGTGTGTGTGTGTGTGTGTGTGTGTGTGTTTGTGTGTGGGGGGTGTTAGTCTGACACATGAGCTTAATGACATGTAGATATAGGTATGACAATGAGCAGGATAATGTGGCATCCCCTTCCACTATTGTAAGCCATGCATTAAGTCATTATGGAGAGTTGCTGCTCACTAATAATGAAAACTTAACAGAACATGTGTTGTAAAAAAAAAAACATTTATTGTCCCTAGTTGTCTTTAAAGGTGCTTGTACATAAAATCTCCTGCAGGGGGAGACCAATAACCAAAATACAAAATTGGAAGCTTGCCTTCATTTTCTGGAGTGGTTTGTTGGTTTTTGTCAGTACCATTAGGAATAGTCTTACCACTGTAGGAAAAACAAAAAGCACACAATTTTATCCAAAAATGACATCTGTTAATGTTACAATCTTAAAATGACCCCTTTATATAGACAGTGCTGAAAAAGGCAAGCCCAAAAACCTTACATTCGTGGCACTTGAAAAATAGCGCTGTCGACTCCGATGCCCTCCCCTTCATCCCCATCCAGACCACCATAGGCATCGCCGACAAGGCTTGGGGCAGAGAGCACCACTGACCCTGACACATCACCCAGGCGGTGTCCTGGCCCTGTGAATGACAAGACCGTATGACAATGAGATTTAATCTGTCTGTTAGTCAGCAGGTCTATCTGTCGCTCTGCTTATCTATATATTATATATCTTTTCATTTATTATCTGTTTATCTTTCTTAAGTATGTCAAAAATATGAAACTCTACCCTGTAACACTATAGTGTTACCTGTAGTGTCACCCTTAATATCTTTAACAAGTTAGTATCTCATAACTAAAGAGCAGTTTAAATGAATGTCTTGTATAAAAGTGACAATTTACTTTTCAAATCCCATTTAAAAACAGCTGTGTTGAAAATAACAGCTTCTTAATTTTCTTTTTATTTTCATATATAAGTTCATAGGGGACAGCTCATACTTTGTAAATCAAAACAAAAAGATCAAATTTATCTATTTTTGTACGGTGACCTTGACTTGCCAGAAAGGCTAGGTTTACTAAAATCAGCCATGCATACCCTTGTTTGAAAGCTGATTTCATTGGCTACAAATCCAATAACAGTGGGACTTTATGGTTATGTTCACACTGCAGCCTGTAGTGACCCTAATCTGATTTTTTTGCCCATATCCGACCTGTATCTGAGCTTTTCATGGCTGTCTGAACAACACAGATCTGATTTTTTCCAATGCGACCCAGGCCACTTGGCTATGTGGTCCTGAATCCCATACGAATCTGATCTTTTTATAAGCAACCTGTGTGTGAACGACCAGGTCGCATTAATCTGACCTGAACGCCATTAATACCCGACAAAGGTCACTATTTTGGGTCTTGCTATGAAGAAGTGGCAAGAAAAACAACAACCATGGCAGATGATGATGTGGAGAGCAGTATTTATGTTTAACCATCTTGTAAAGATTGTTTTTATGGTTGGGGAAAATCGCTAGATGCGCTCCGGCACTACCATCCGTGTTTACTTCCGTAAACACAGAGCACGCAGGCCTGTGATGTCATTGTGTCCTCTGCTGCGCATACAGGACAATTGTGTTGTATGACTGCAGTTCACACAGGAGATCACATACAGGTCACATATATTTGGAAATGTGAACAGCAACACAAAAAAAATCAGATTTCACAAAAAAATCAGAATTGAGCATCAAGGCCTGCAGTGTGAACGTAGCCTAAGAGGCATATTTTGACAGTAAAGACGTTTGTGGTAAAGGAGTGCTTGTTTATTTTCAAGAGCTGTCCTGGAGTCAAATCTAAACAGAAATTAATGTTTCTGTTATGGTGGTATCTCTTGACCCACATGCACAGACACTCAGAGAAAACTAATAAAAGTGGAAATGTTAATTGCACAGAGGAGGGATAAAGCGACACTACAATCCAGGGGAGGAACTGGAAGCAAGGAACTGCAAAACTTTGGTTTGTGGATGAATCAACTCCAAAGAGAGATGAATGGTGGATGGCTGGGTCTGTGTCAGCTCTCAGCTAGAGCAGATTGAGGATCGTGGAACTTGGAACAGAGGATGCCACTAGATCAGAGCATTGGACTGAAACAGGTAGGAAGGTCACAGATGGAAGTGGAGGTTGAAACATTACTCCTAGACTTGGTAGTGAATTGTAAAGAAGTAGTTTTGATTTGAGTCTTTGCACAGAGAGATCAGAGAAACTCCTCAAGGAATCGACATGAGCAGAAATGTCTGCCTCAGGCTCCATGGCCCCTTGTGTGTATACTGAAAAATAACCATAACCAAACTCAACAGACCACCATCCTAACTGTCTCATTACAAGTTTAAACATTTTCCATGTAAAGTGTGAAAGCTATTGACTTTTGATTGTGCAACTTCTAAGCTCCCCTAAGAACCAGGGAGTTAACTTTGGCCCCTGATAGGTTTGTCCCATGACAGATGTCACTTGACTGGTGCGAAAGAAGCAAGCTTTTGAAATTAAGGATGAGTGTTATCAACTACTATAGATATAGTTGGACTCCACACAGCTGATGAAGGTTCCCAGTCATCCAGGTCATAGTCATTCCGTAAAAATTAAAAAAATATCCACTGCACTTGGTTTCCAAGATCTGAAGACATTTCGCCACCTCTCCAGGAAGCTTTCTCAATCCACACAGGTTTTGGGTTCAGAACCAGAGAAGGCCTGGTCTTTGTCAGTCCTTTGCTGTTCTCTTTTTACCTGGTGAGTCAGAGTCGTGTCACCTCTTTGAACATCGAGGTTTCAAGAGGAAAAGTTCTGCCTGTTGTTTGTGCTTTTGAACCAACCTGCAGCTTAGAGTGCCTGGTTGATGATCAATTTTACAATCATCACCAGACCTGGTGTGCTGCCAGTTAAGAAGTGGGGCAGAGTTTTTAAACTTCAGCCACTTGGTACCATACTGCAAAGGCTCAATCAGCAGTTTCTCCCATATACTTAGGAAAATGTCACACCTTAAATCTGAATAATCTGCAGCCTGAAGGACATTGGTGCCTTTCATGATAAAAAAAAAAGTTTGATCTATTCCTAGACTTCCCCCGGGCTGCCCCCCTCCTCCTAATCCTGCTTACTGTTTATATGGAAAGGATCCCAAGGTATAGTTGTGGGGAAAATTGAGTTTTGTTTTCGTTTTTTTTAAGGAAAGTTCCAATCTCATCTTTGGATCTTACGGTATCTTTACTGTATTACACTGCATCTGGTTCTGGCGCCTGCTTCAAAACATGTACTTAAGCAAGTGCTGGAGCTGTATGCACCGAAGTGGGAAGCAGCTAGGATGAGATTTAGGTATACTGAAACTGTGGCCATGGGTCAAAACTGTAGAAAACTGAATTGTCCCATCCTTGAGAAGGGGGTGAGCCCCTCTCTCAAGCTGATATATATGGGTTTTATATTTTATGTTCTTTGACAATCATACAAGTTTTGTATCACAAATGAAACACTCTTTTTATATAAATTTGTATCGAAGC